ATAATATTCAAATGATGGAACTAAACAAAAAAGGGGATACAGATGAATGTCCATTTTGTATCTGTGTATTCAAAATGGTTGGGATAGATATATAGTTATATTCACTTAATGAAAAGAGGGATTTGTTCTAATGGTGTTTGTAAATAGGATAGCATGTCTGCATCTTGCACAGCAATTAACCACTAGGAAGAATGCATGCAATGTATTAATTATTGAAACTGTCCTACCAATTTGGTTTGAAACTGTCTCATTGCTATCTGTTTCTCAATAAAATTATGGGAAAAAAAGAAATTAAGAAGAAGTAGAAAACAAAAAGATAGAGAGAAAAGAGAAACAATTAAGCAGCATTCACTGCTCATTTCAACAAACCTGTAAAAATCAGCAGTACAATTCTCCAAGATGTCTTGTGTATATACATAAATACATCTGTTTCCCTTCCTTCTTTCTCTCTTTTCTCCTTTCCCTCATTCCAGTTATTTCTTCCTTTGGAACAGTTTCTTTCCCTTTTGCAGTACCCACTGCATCTTTTAGAGCTTCTTCATTTTTCACTCCCACATGTGGAACTGTATCCTGTTCATATTGAACATTAAAAGCTATCAAAGTATCAAGCAGCAATACTTATTAAAAAACACCTGGTAGGGCCAGCCAGATAGCTCAGCGGATTAAAGCACCTGCTTAGGCAGGCACAGGGGCCAGAATCTGATTCTTTGGCCTGCCATTTCAGCCCCATCCCTGGGGCACACTGAGATCAAGATTGAGACTGGGCATGGTGGCGCATGCCTGTAATCCCAGTGTTTGGGAGGCTGAAAACAGGAGGATGGATGACTAGGAGTCTGATCTGTGTAGCAAAACCCTGTAGACCCTGTACTAAATTAAAAAAAAAAAAAAAACCAAAACACTACCTGTTAAGGTCTTCATAGAAATAAGAATACCCTAAAATATAAAAATGTTCAAGTGAAAAAATGTGCAACAGAGAGAGAGAGAGAGAGAGAGAGAGAGAGAGAGAGAGAGAGAGAGTATTATGCAATTCTTAAAACATTTGATAGGGGCATTGTCTCAGCTACTTTTTTCCCATTGCTGAGACAAATACCCAACACCCAAGATGAAGGAAGCAAAGATTTATTTAGCTCAGAGTTAATGGAGGTTTTCATCCATACTCGGCTAGCTCCAAGGTAGAGCAATCCCTTGCTCTCTACAGCCTTTCTCCCTTGTGTTGCATTTAGTGTATCTACGCCAGGTTGGGGACAAAGTCATACACACAATCCCAGCAGCACTCACAATCACAATCCCAGCAGCACTCACACCCACAATCCCAGCAGCACTCACACCCATAATCCCAGTATCACTTAGATCATAATCCCAGCAGCACTCTCATCCACAATCCCAGTGGATCAGGAGTTAACCACAGTCTAGAAGTCTACCCATCACTGCATGAAGCTTTGGGAGGACAAGTAGACACAAACCACAATAAGTATGCTAATATAATATGAAAAATAGATGAACAGATTTTAATAAAGTTCTACACTTTTCCTTATCATTATTACTTTTCATATCTCTTATGGTTATGTCTTTTTTTTTTTAATGTGTTTGGTATAAGGTCTCACTACACAGCTTGGACTCATAGTGATCCTCCTGTTTTCAGCCTCCCAAGTGCTGGGATTACAGGCATGTGCCACCACACCCAATCTCAATCCCTGTCTCAACATGCCCTGGGTTTGGGGCCAGCATGGTACACAGGGCATTAAACCCAGGTCACTGTGCTTCTTACACTTTTTGATCAATTTGTATACTTATATCTGGAAATCTGAGCAACTAATTTGAAGACGACAATATACAATAGGACAACCATGGTTGAATTCTCATTATCTTGTTTAGTGAAGTTCTGTATCATTTCCATTGTTTAATTTTTTTATTCTCCTTAAAAATAAATATTTCTTGTAATAAAAATAAATATGAACAAATGATTTGTTAGTACTGAAATGAATACTTCACTGTCAAATATGTGCTTATCTTTCTACTATACAAGCTCTGCATAATGTAGCTTGCAAAATGCTTAATCATTCTTTTTCTTGCACGATACATGTAAACAAATCTGACTCGCTGTCACTCACTAATATTCCACATGTGGAAATATTTTCTGTGTCGAGAAATATCCTCATTTCTTCTTTCATTTCTTTGGCTTCTCCTTTAATTTACCTGCCAAAGCAAAGTAGCTTATAGGCATTTTTTTAATGGAAAGGAAGAAAATCTATTCTTTTGCTGTAAGTACAGAAGCCACTGCTTGTAGCCCTGCTTCGTATTTCCCTTGCATGTAGGTGCAAAGAAAACTCATGAGAGTCCAAGAAAATTGGAACCACCAGTGCATATGAAACTTCACAAGTACTTCATGAAGAAATGCTCACTAAATGTCTCTGTTATTCTTACCTCTGCATTTGGAAAGTGTGACTCTATTTCTCCCAGAAATTAGAGGAAGAGATCTGCCTGAGTATGAAGAGACACTGATATCCACAGAAGTTGGAGACCTAAAAACATCCCCCAGCATAGAAAGAGCACCAAGCGTAATTGGTCCAAACCAAATTAAGTTAACCAGGAACGAAGGAAAACATAACAGAAAGGCTTTCTTCTCATCCCATTTCCTTCATGGGAGTAATGGAGGCCTAGAAGCAAATTTAATGATTCAATGCATCCAGGACCTCTGGGCTTTGCAATGTACCATTATGCACATGATAATAAAAGTTGACCGGGGTTCTAGAGGTTGGCTTTTAATCACTGAGCTGGCTCTGAATGTTCTTACAGAACTTCTGCAAACAAAGCCTTTTGGGTAGAGTCAGCCATTCCTTGAGAAATATTCTCAATCATTAAAAAACTCAGAGGCTGGCTTAAGCATGTTACTTAGTGTCAAACACTTAAGCCTACACGCTTAGGCTACTAGGCAGCAACCACTTCCCAGTCTACTGTCACACAACTTCCTTTCATTGTTTTATTTGTCCCCTGGATATTTAGAACACTTGGCATACAGTAAGATGGACCCAGGGCCACATGAGTAGTTTCATTTACTTATTTATTTATTTAGTGTGTGGTCAGCTCAGCCCACCAGGGGGCGGGCGGGCTGGCATGTGGTGCTGGAGGATTGAACCGAGGTCCCTGTGCTTTGCTTGAGCTTAGCTTGTTCTAAGTAGGTGGTTTAGACCACTGAGCCATCTCACCAGCCCAGTAGTTTCATTTACACTGCAGCCATTTATCAATGTTCGTTGTCCACCTGTCTGAGATAGTACTACTACAGCCTTGTTTAAAATACATGAAAACTAATGTGGAAATCTTTTTTGGGGGGTGTGTGTGGGGAACCGGGGATTGAACTCAGGCCCTTTCGCTTGCCAGGGAAGCACTTACTCCACTGAGACATCTCCCTGGCCCCTGGAAATCCTTTTGTCTGCAAATAACAAAGCCTGCATCCATCTAGGTAAAGTGCAAGAAGAAAGTCCCTGAAGGTGCAAAGAAAACTCGTGGGAGTCCAAGAAAATTGGAACAACCAGTGCATATGAAACGTAACAAGTGCTTCATGAAGAAATGCTCACTAAATGTCTCTATTATTCTCTATCTCTGTGTTTGGAAAGAGTGGTTCTATTTCTCCCAGACTGATAGCTTTTGCAAAGCCAACCTGCACACAGGAAGCTCACAAACAGAATTTCTTCAGTCTTGCCATGGTTCAACCTTCATAACAGATACAGTTGTACAGACTGGCTTCCACATTTTGGAA